CCATGGAACTGCACCCAACTCTATGGAACTTCTGGTATGACCCTTTTCTTCTCCAAGGGTAAACGAGCAATGGTATGGTACCCAGACACTCCATGGGACTGCTCATCACCCACGTGTTGTCTAACCGCCCGGCCAAGTCATATAGCTCATCCAAGATGCTCACAAACTTGATGAAACTTGATGTACACAGGTGACTGAAAACTGCCGGCCACCGAAAGGAAAGCAGGCGCAGCGTCAAAAAGGCACCACATTCCCAAAGCTGATAGATATGCGTCTTTTTTCGCAGCCGTGGGCGAAAAAAGATCAGATGGACAATGAATCTTGGAGGAGAACTGATATCTTGAAGAGGAAGACATCTCAGTTTCCACCCTTCTTTTGGGACCCATTGGTTCTCTTTGAGAGGAAGACATCTCAAGTTCCACTTCTGTACAATCAAGAATGCGTCGCCCCGGCGTTCCGACCTCCCGCGCGCAAGAACGGCAACCGCGAGCGCAGTTCTGCCACGTCTGACTGTCGTCTGACGGCCAGTGCCGTCGCCCAGTGCGGTGGGCTCCGCGCGGAGCCCGGTTCGCCAGCTGCGCTTCCTAAGGCAGTACCTCTTGTGCAGCCTTGATCCAAGAGCGCAAGGCGAGGACAAGCGAGACCACACTGAGCTCGATCCGAGACCGGGCGAAGCGGTATGTTTGATATTGAATTTGGGTGGGCTGGTGTTTGGGCGCCAGTTGGTCTCCAAAATCACCGGCAAGCAAGGGATTGCTTTCTACTTCAATGTTAGCGTGGTGAATCATGTCTTGCATGAGAATTGTTTTGGTGGAGGATACATGGCAATGAAGGATTCGGCTGGATTTGCCGAAAGACATCCTGTGCATGAAGAGATTCTGCTCCAAGAGATAGACAATCTCTACTTTAGCAGGTTTTGGCCTTGCTGGGGCACCATTGACTCAGGAGGTCTAGATGGGCCGTTCATCCTAAACTGGGGGGCCATCTGCTCCCGCTCGGTGAAGCCCTCGTGTTTTACGACGCTGACACGATGCTGACACGACGCACGCGACGTCAGGTGAGCATGGAGGCTTCTCCCAATACCAAGCAGAGGAGATCAGCGGGGCATGGTGAGATCCCGAGGTGTTTTAGTGCCTGCTATGGGGAGGCTAGCTTGAGGTTGGAGAATTGTAGTAGCTAGTAATTAGCGTGAACGTCCAAAAAAGAGGGAATGGAGAGCCTTCGAGTGGAGTAAGGACCCAGCTGAGGGTGGCTTCCGATCCTGGGATGCAGCCCATCTGGATGACGAGTCATTTGGACTTACCGTTTGTTCATGGAGATACAATAGTTTCAGAGGTTCGATGATACAAGGGCCCCCCAAGTTCGGTGGTTGACTCCCCATATGTCTAAGACATCTTCGGGTGCCAGTGCCATCTACTCTGAAACCACTGTAAGATCATATAAACGATTGGCCTTCCCTGTAGTGGTTCAGATAGGTCGCCCCCCTGGTCAAACGACCACTTCCAACCTTTTCCCTTCCAGTCCCCCGGTTAGGGGGCAATCAACTTGCTTCCGATCCGGAGACCATTTCGAGCATGCCTAGTAGCGCTTCTTGTTACTGGCAGTATGGCCAGGAGCTACGTTCGTAGCTTCTTGCTCCTAGTAGTAATGCACTTGTTACTAGTAGCTTCTTTGCCCCCATCTTCATCTGACTTCCATCATCGGACGGCAGGATTTTGCATCAAGCGGTCGTCGAAGAAGAGGCGCCCCATGTGCGAACCAGAACCGTGTGCAGCTTGTGTTGCTCGTGTTCGCACAAAAAATGGTGAGAAATTTCTTCCCAGACCTAACAAGGCCATCGCCACTAGCAAGGACGCTACGAACGTAGCTCCTGGCCTTACTACTAGTAGCAAAAATGGACTAAATAGATCCTGGCCCCCCAATAGATCGAAACACAGGTGTTGTCCAGGAGCCACCATCCGGAACCCGGTCTGCTGATCTTCTGTCTTTTTGTTGGTGCCAACATGGAACTCTGATGCTCATCCAGCCGATACTGTATCAAGCCGTCGCACTAGCAACGCCAGTGGTGGCATGGTCAGTGGCATCAAACCACGCCAAGAAATATCTCAAGTGAACATCTCCAGGTGCGGTTGCGGTGCAGAGTTTCTTCCATTCCCCAGAGACCCCCCAGAGACAGGATTTTACATCATCTTAGGGGGTGTACGTGGGACGTATCTGATATTGATCCCACATGGGATCTTTCCACAGGGCAACCAGGGAGTGCAGCACCAGGAAAACCCGGTCCACAGGAGAAAACACGGGTCAGGGCCACTTCTTGATGCACCAGGGCCACCCAGGAGGTGCATTCGAACCCTATCTCTCCGCCAGGTGCCCATGCCACGTGTCGTGAGGCGGGCTTGAACGGGTGGACGGCTGGTGGTGGTTTGTGGCCCTGCTGGCTTGCGGTGTGAATGGCGATCCTCTAGCTCCAGGGCATGACTATATAGTAGCAAGAAGCTGCTACTGTAGTAACAAGGTGCATCGCTAGGGTAGCAGCATCACTTTTCTTGTTCCGCTTCATCCGATTTGGAGGTCGTGCAGAGGTTGCGATTCGGAGGGCGCAACGATCAAATCTGAGTGAAAAAAAGACTCGTTGGTTTCGACGATGACGAGTTGGACACTTTTCGTTCTGGGACCATGCCATTCACTTTCATGCCCAGACACTCCATGGGACTACCATAGGACTGCCGCCCCAGACAGACCCCCCTGGCAGTCCCAGACTACTCGTGTCTGGCGTCCTCATATGGGGGTCATACCATGATGGATGGCATGGTCTCGGAAGATAACTTTGAGATCTAGAAAACAGGGGCCAATTTAGTCCCAGATAGTCTCAGTGTATAGATCTCCTGAGAGGGCGAGACTCTTCAGTGATTCGGCTTCACCCCATCCCGTCACCGCGAACGCGTTCGCTCGCACACGCGACTCGCGCTTGGCGCGAAACGTCAACACAGGCGGCCCAACAGCCCTGGCTTCGAGCGTCGGGTTGCCCCAGCTGGCGGCAATTCTGGATTCACAAAGATGCTCAAAGACCAGATGTTACTGGACCAGACACTTGGTAGGGATACTCACTTGATTTGGTGAATGTTCCCATAAGGAGATTCAGTGTGTGGTGTGTCTCAGTGTCTTTGTGGATTCCAGTGTGTGGTGTTTCTCGCATCCCTGAAGATCTGGACTATGCACATCGAGCTAGCCGCCCCAGGATGGTGCAGAAGTCCTTGATCTCCCAATATTGCTTTTGAACTTCTTGAGCTGCCGAATATCCCTATAGTTAGCTCATAGCCGCGACATGATGTTGAGATCTCAGGTGCTTTTCAACTTTTGTCCTTGAATCGAGCTAGCCGCGTACCTTCTGAGAAGGAGGATTATAATGGATTATAGACGTTTATTAGGACATGCCTTTTCACAGGGCTTTGGATTGAACAGCTAGCCTTGGATTTCCGTCGTTGATTGTTCCACAGCTTTGTAGCTCCAGATGTTGAGAGAATCAAAAGCGAAGGCGGTTCCATGGCCGTGTCCAAGAGAGGTTGAAGGACCCGAACGTTCGACTATCCCAGTTCGGTACCCCCAGTGACGGGTCCAATTTACGGTCACTGGATACCTCTCTTGGGTAGTCACTGGTGTACTGGGCCCGCCCTTCGCGGTCGCGTCTACCGCGTCGCGTCTACCGCGTCGCCTCGTCGGGAGTGTCGTGGTGCGCTGACTCGTCAGCGGTTGTTGGACGGAGCAACCTCTTGGGCCTTCACCGGTGAAGCTCGTGGGCCTTGGGGGTCCAAGAAGCCCTTGCTCTTTCCGCTTTGGAAGAGCTCCTTGAAACCGGAAAACGACCGAATCCCTGTCGACCGAATCCCTGCGATTCGCTCCGCACACGGGTCGAGGCGTCACCTCTCCGACGCGATCGCCCGAAGCGCGATCGCCGCAGGTGGCGGGGGGGGGCCGGCGTGGGGGGGGGCGTGTGGCCGCAAGGGCCGTAAGGGCTGCAAGGGCTGGGGGGCCCTCCCTTCCAGATTCGCGGTTTTGGGTTTGTTTGTTTCTATTTGCTATGAGGATTGACTCGTGAAGACTGGAAAAAGACAGACATGTCTTAAAAGAGTTTTTGGAAGGGGCAGAGTTGGCGGAGTGGAGAAGAATGTCGCCGCGTCAAGTTCTTGAGACTCATGACTGGGATCAACAGATCTTGGATAATACGATACATCTTTGCCATGGTCGTGCGAACATATCCTTTGATGTGGGTCCAACACGTGGTACATTTAGCATCCTCTGAATCTATGAAGGTCTTTGATTTGGCTGGGGTCAGAAGTCACTCCGCCCCCCCTGAAGTGCACTGAACTGCATAGCGGCTAAGCGTGATTTGTTGAGGAAAACCAAAGGCGAAGAGAAGCAAACCCAATCACTATATACAATGCTGGCCCACCTGACTTGTGCCTTGTACTCCCCTACGAGCTCTAAAGATTTGCCCATCAAAGTGACGAAGCATTGGACCCACATGACCCACTGAACGCTACAGACCATCAGGCTGTTGACCATGGGATCCGTGACGGATTCTGCCTTCGAAGTGGGGGAAGGGGGGAACGTTCCCTTCCGGATAGGGGTTGAGAGCAGCGACAGAGGTGCGGTGATTCCCGAAGACTTCGGCCGAAGAAACGCCTCTCTAAAAGAGTGTCGTCAACTCGAAGCGGTCCGCGGGCAGCTTGTGCGAGTCACGTGACTCCGTCCGCTTAGATTGCAAGAAGGATACATGGACTGCAACAAATTGCGTTATGTGATGTTACGTGTCAAACAGGACCAGACTTCTTTGGAGACAACTTGGACCTATTTGGTGCTCTTAGGCGGGGTGTTCCTGGGCCTCCCTAGCAACCGCTGCAGCATGCAACACCTGATCTCTATCACTGGAGTGCCCTGGTAAAGCGAAGTAGATTGAGAAACTCTGGTCAGCTCTGACTCCCATCTAGGTCAACCCCCCCCCACGAGTCTTAGCACCGTTGATGCTCCATGCGGCGCAATGCCTCGACTTCTCAGCACCCATTTGCTGCCCCTGGCGGCTGGACTGGCGCTGCTCTTGGAGGGCTGCGCTCCCGAACTCGACGTCCGCGCGCGGGGGCAAGGGCTGAGCCGATGGCGAACAGCACCACATTTGCCCAGCTTTTTAGACACCCACGAGGAGGACACAGGGGGGGACCCGAGTGAGGGACGGATTTGTTTTTCTTGGAGTTTTGGTAGGACGTATGAGACGTATAATATGGCTGTAAGCGCCCGTCTACGGAAATGGTCGACCGTTTCGTGCAGGTAGACCAAAGGCGCCAACATTTGATCCGCTGTTTTGTGCCGTGTCCTGACTGCCCCTCATGGTCAAAAGATTTAAGATCCATGAGCATCTCCAATGGCAGGTCGGGTAGACTCTCTGAAATCATCATGGAAGTGGAAAACCACCAGTTTCTAGTGGACAACGGTCACCCGAAATCTGGGGCCATGCCTTTTATTCGTTGGCCCATGATCATGTCCAAACAGTGTAAACGACACAAGAACTTCACACGCACCTTGAAAGCTATTGCTTGTGCATCCAAAGAAAGATCCCTTCTCCAAAAGCCAACTGAAGGGCCCATGACTTCCCCGTTCCTGGAGGAGCCCGTTGGGGAGAGTGAGAAAGAGCCAAGGTTGCGTACTCCCCAGGCGTTAGGAAGGGTCTCACCTTCGCTCCGCCCTCGAAGTGCAGGGACGCAGAGTCGTGAACACTGGGTGCACTGGCACCTGGTCCTTCCCCTACCTCGGTTCTTCCCCCCTTTGTCCGTACTGGACCATGTTCTCGGCGCAGGAGCTCCGTCTCCAGCAGGGCGGCTGGTGGGGATGGCTCGCCCCGCCGTGGCTGGGCCGCTGCGTCGTGGGCTACGTGAAGTGGCACCTGGCGCCATCCGAATCGCGCCCGGCACGGGGACAGACTCGAACAGGGCCCATTGGGGCCAGGGAGTCCTCCCTACTTAAATACACATTCCGGGTGGCCAGGTGGTGGCCAGGTGGTGGCCACTGGTGAGCCACCAATTGGTGGGGTTGGGACTGTACTACCTGAAATGGTGTTCGACTGGGTGCTTGGTTCTGAACCAGAGCCACTGAGGGCCTCTCCGGTGGTAGGACTGAGCTTGTGGTGGGTTCCACAAACGCACTCGGTCTTGGACTTGCCGGCACATTCGCTGGCATGGTTGAACCATTTGTGCCACCACTTTCTCTTACCGGGTCTCTGCTGACCAAGTGATGCAGCTTGCAAACATGAAGAAATCCACAGGTTTGGATGGCCACCTCGCTCGTGCTTGTTGTTTTGTTTGGTTCATGTTCAGAAAGGAAGATAAAGTTGTTTGTTTCTTGAAGTTTTGAAAGTGCTTCAGCGTTTTTCGGCACAGAACGTGAACACACCAAACTGACAGAACTCAATTGCAGCAACACATTGGATCTCTCCAGACTTGGCAGCTCCTTGCCAGAAAGCAAGGAACAACCCCAAGAGAGAAACACGCTCTTCTCTCACAAATTCTGCAAACCAGCTGCTCTTGGAAGCTTCCATTGGTGGCTTCGTTGTCAATTATGTGGTTCAGTGGCCCTGGATTGGTTGATGCTTCACTCTGTTTCTTTTGGCCCACACGTGGCTGCATGGCTGGACCTTCTTCTTCGGTGCCGGGCAGCGCACGCAGCGCACCCTGAGGCCTCAGGCAGCCTGGAGGGCGAAGTTCAACGTCTTGGCTTCGCTGGTGACGGAGGACGTGAAGCCGTTGGGATTTGCCTCGGTGGACGTTCCATGGGATGGAGGATGGCATGAACGATGGAGGATGGGAGAAAGACCAGACCTGGCAGCCAGAACTCCACACGAAGAAACAGACAGACAGGAAAAGAACAACAACAATGAACTGATGTGTTTGGCACTGGAAGCCTTTGGAGCACTCGTTTTCCTTTTGGGACCCTGCTCAAGGACTAACAACTCGTGGGCCAAAGAACTCTGCACAGGTGGTGCTGGACGCAACTTTCCCTTCGGGGCAAGGAGCAGTGATTTCGCCACTTACGGTGACCTGGGGACTGATAGCTTGGCCCCATTCAACTTTGCAGAGCTTCAGATTCCAGCCACTTGAGGAATTCCCCAGAGGCCTCCAACCTACTGGCGATGGCCTCCAACCTACTTGCAAATGGAACCTAATAGTGATGGCCTCCAACCTACTAGCCATGGCCTCCACCTACTTGAGGTTTACTTCCCCAGACGTTCAGATTCCAGCCACTTGAGGAACCCGCCACGTGCCGGAGCGGCTCAGGAGGAGGCTGTGGCGATGAAACGTCTACTGGAAGATGCACCCGATGACTTTGATGAAGATATCGACGGTGTGGATAAGACACCAAGATGATAAGGGGTCAGAGACGGGGTGTACTATCATCTGGTGTACTTCAAATGAAACCTCTTTCCGGTCCTCACCAGGAAGTGGAGGAAAGAGGTTTCATTTGAGGTCGGACAACTTCAAGATGGTACTTGGCCGAGGCGACAAGGCTTGGCGACAAGGCGACAGGCCCATCATCGACCTTTTTGGTTCAACATCAAAAAAAATGAGTCCCCAGGGAGGGAAGAAAGGGGTTTCCAGCATCCAATAGTCTTTCCTTGTTTTGCTGAGAGTGCTTCCAAGATTGCCATACTGCCATAGTCTGTCCCAGGCCCCTGCAACAGTCTGTTTCAGCTATATTTTAAAGATGGAAAGGCCTGCAACCTGGCCCCATCATACAGCTGCAGCGAAGTGCAACCCGGATTTTCCGGGCTCTGGAATCCCAAGGACCGCTGACAAGGACCAAGGACCAGTGATCTTGGCTCAAAAGAACTAAGTGTAGGAGTAGGAGCAAGGTTATCCACGGAATGGGTGCCCTCTAACTGATGAGAAGGGACCCAGGTGAGAAAAGGGCAAGGCCAAGGAAAACAACCGATCCTGCACTCTGTGCAAGGAGGGTTCAGACAAGAAGGCAAGGCGAGGCCAAAAGCCAGCCCAAAGCAAAAAGGAAGAAGGCATCATCAATCATCATCAATCATCATCCGCTGTTCCTGGTAATCATCGGATATACCCAAGCCCAAGCCATACCTTTTTGAACGTGGTGAGATGATTTTCCCATGGCTTCGGTGAGTCTTCACACATCTCATGATGAAACACATGGTGACTCGGATCGACGAAACGGATCGTTGAATCGGATCGGCGATTCTCGGAGCCGCAGGGCCATATGCGGTCAGGGCGAGGGCGACTCGGATCCGCTGAAGATGTTCATTTAAAGGGAATTCCAATGAAAAGCCCAAAACAGGACCTGGATGGACGCTGAACCAGGGTTGGGTCCTGGTTCGGCCAGGGTTTCCCCAGCTTTTGATTCATGCATCTCCTTCTGGCCTTCTGGGGAATCCTTATAACGTCTTATAACATCATTTACCACATTATATATGTTCTCCCGGCTCCTTAAAGGATGCGCAGCTCTCACCGGACAGAGGATGATCACCTACGAGTTCATCATCTCCAGCGCGGGCGCGCAGAAGGCGCACGACCCCGTGCGCTCCGCCCGGCGGGCGCAGCTTCGACGCATCACCGAGCCCATCCTGAGGGAGCGCCCCTCGGACGTGTCCGGGGGGGGAGGACACTTCCGGCGCGTCGGATGGGATGTGACGTGGCCCAGCCGAGCGGAGAGCAACGGTCTCTTTTTCGGACCAGGGTGAAGTCCAGCGGTTGGACTGGGCGCTGCAAAGGTCCGATGTTTTGGGGCGCCAAGCACCAAGCTATTGGGGGGTTTTGTGACCTCAAGCTATTCTGTAGAGCCTGGTTCTTGCTGATGGTCACTTGTCTCGGAGCTGTGTCTACGACAAACTTTTGACCTTGGACATGGCCGTAGAAAATGTACCAGTCACCAGCCCAATCAGAGCGAAACATGTGTGCCTCGTGCAGGCTTGTCTTGTGTTAGCGAACTGGGATGTAGGCCAGAAGGCTTATTCACTTTGCCGCATCCGAGAATAGGCAAGAAGCATCCGCACGCCAAAGCCATCCCCTCAAGATCTCTCTTTGCCTTTGTCAGCTCAGGTATTCAGCCCTTTGTTTGGGCACGTTACCCCAAAGCGGGTGCAGTGTGCCACTCAATGATTCGCAGATATCTGGAGAGAGAGCGGAGGACGCACGACACGCAGCATGGTTGTCAGTTTTTCTTCGGGTGGGGTGAGGGTGGCATTTCTTGTTCCTGAGGAAGTGAGTATACTGTATACTCCGTCCAACAAACATGGAAGCGGCAAGTCCACTGTTTGTCAAGGGGAACAAAGTGGCCATGCAAATCACTTTTGAAAGCATGGTGGTGGTGCTCCATATCTTAATTCGATTGCAGTCAACCTGGTAAGATTGTCTTGAAAGTGGCCATGCCGTCCACTTTCATGTTTTTGGGCTAGATGGGATCTCACTGTACAGAAGCAGATGATCCCTCTCCAGACAAACCAACATGGACAACCAGCACTGGGTTAGATACTCCAGTTTCTTGCGTTGTAGTGGCAGAATCCTGGTCCCCCAAACGTGGTATTTGTAACTGGGAACCAGGAAGCAGAAACCAGCGACCAGTCTGAAGCAGACACCAGGTGCCTCCTCCCCTCCTCATCACAGACCATGTCATCGGCAGCAACAGCATCAGCAGCTAAATAGCCTTAACAGCCTCAGCCATAGATGGCCTTTTACTATTGTTTGAATGATTAATAGAGGGGATAATAACCCCAAGTGGTCAATGGTGCCAAACTGACCCCTCTATTTTTTCCCAGGACCGGCCAGTGAGCCCACGGCCGGCGCAAGGGGCATCCCATCTCATTGGATCTATCCTATCCTATCCTATCCTATCCGAAGGAGATGCCAATGGAAGACCTTTCACCACTAGGATCGAGCAAACAAGGGGATCGAGCTACCAGGACACGCTTCTATTGATAGGCTCCGAAAAAGATGTGATTCGGGGTGTCCATTAACCACCCCGACAGTGGGTCCTGGTAGGGCAATTCAGATTGTTTTCCAACCTTTTTGCCGCCCCGTCTCGTCGGACCCCCTCCGTTCTCGTCGGACCCGGCCCCCCCGTCTCGCTCGTGCCCCTTCCCATCCCCTGTCGGTCTGGGTCATGTGCAATCCGACGTTCCTGAGGCATTGGGATATCCCTTCCTACGTCTCGGTGGTGGTCAGCTTGGACTCTTCAGGCCAAGACTTCGAGGCGCCGCGTGACGGACGCGGAACGTGCTGGCCAAAACCGCGGACGCGGACGCGTCTGAGCGCAGCTGTGGGAGCGTGGGAGTTCTGGGTTCTTCCCGGAACTGGAAAAAAGAAGGGGAGACGCATCTTGGAGCCTTTTGGCTGGATCTGCCGGGCGATTTCAGAGATTTGTTGTTCAACCTTTACTTGGGATGTTTTTTTCACCCACTGACTCATATATCTTTCAAGTGAGTTGAAACCAGCAAGAAGTAGGAAGTTCCCTAACCTCTTCTGACCTGAGTTCCCTGCTCAGCCATGTTTTTCCCCCCCCCCGCTCAGCCCCCTCAGAGGTGACCAGAGACTTGTCTTAATCCTCCGCCGGAGGATTTGGAGACTTCCTTTCGTCTTCATCCGTGGATTCTCAGAGACTTCCTCGTGGGTCGTGAGGGGGCCTGCGGTACCCGTACCCTTCGTGTAGGGGAGACGGATGCCTCTTCACTTCCCGTTCAGACGTGGAGGTGTTTAATATACCGATCCAAATCCCGCCGAAGAAACATTGGGGAATGATGGGATCTATGCCATTTTGCGAGCTGGAAACAGATGTTTACTTTGGAGGAGTCAAGCAGAATTGGGCAACTGGATGGCTTAGACATCAGGATCTCTTGCCGCTAAGCTAAGCAAACACGCACGCTGCGAGGTCGCAAACACACCCGAAGTGAGGAAACATCTTCACTGGAACAGTCCAAAGACTATCTCTTGCCCCACTCTTCAGTAAAGGAAGTTCCTCTGAGAACGAAAGGTCTTAGCCTTAGCGAAAGGTGGAGCTCTTCCGCCGTCATGGAGCCGTGAAGGGCCTTTAGTCCAATGGAGGCAAGCAATCTCTCAGCCAATGGGGACTTTCATCACCTAGAAGCCTGGAGCTCCATGCCCAAAAGGGTCAGGCAGTCATCAGCATAGTCAACTAACTTACATGACTTTAGACTTCCTCATGGTAGATTTCATCGATCAAGTACTACAACCATCCTAGAGTAGATAATTAGAATATGAAACAACATGAAACAACCCAGAATCCAGACACCTGACCTGTGTCCTATTCTTTTTTTTGTGATTTTCACCTATTCTACTCCAGGATGACTACAAATCGAACGTGGACATGTAAGAGTTCCCTGTTTCCCGTCTCAGGGAGGCTTCTTTGTCACCACTGGCAACGGCGAGAAATCCTTCATCCCTTTGCAGACGCCTGGATTCGGGTGTCGACGTCCGGGCAGACGTTGTGGGACTGATCCCAGACACGACCAGTGGGACTGGCGAGGCCGATCAATTCATTTCCTTAGGATTCACCGATATTAAAATTACTTTGCTTCGAGTGCACCCCACCATGACATTTCAAAACAACCACGTTGACATCACCCTCGTTGTGTATTTCAGCCCATAGCACAAGTCCTTCAGCGCCAAGTCTTACTGTTTTGTCCGAAGCGAATGCGTTCATCAGGAGACCTGTGCCATGCCTTGGTGCGGCCGCCAAGGTGTCAAGGACTCGTGAGATGCCATGCTGGCGAGAGCCCCCCGTGTCCATGCAGATGGATCGTGTCCCTGAGCCCAGTGCCGATGCACTTGGACGAACAGCTTGGAGAGTTGCTCAAGATGTTCGGGGTCCAACAGATTGATAGGGCTTCCTTTGAGGAGATCCATGTGCCCCTCTACTCCATGAAGACTCTGATGGACCTCATGGCTCTCAAACGCTGCAAGCTGCAGGTCACACTGCTTGAGGCGGGCCCAGTTACAAATTCACTACAACAGGCCCGAGCGCCAATGAGGATGGTGCCGAGCCGATGGCCTTCAAAGAAGATTCCGAAGCGAGGGCCTGGTCATTGTAGATTTCAGTAGCTTGGTTAATTCGAGGCTGCACCTGTTCCACATTGTACAGTGGGTAAAGGGCGTTCTCTTCATGCCATTGCGCAGAATGATGCAGAATGTAACCCTCACCTCAAAGTTTCAAGTGTCACACGAGGTGAACTAAGTGAAATCATTCACGTAGCTTCAGTATTCGTGTCTCACTTCCAAACCAGGCGTGCTTCCTTGGAGCTGATGCCTACGGGTTCATGAATAAACGCCGACGTCAAACTATTTGGGCGTGGCTCAAAAGCAGGGTACCATCCAAGCCCACTGGCAAAGAAAAACACATACACTCAAATCACCTTAAGAAATGCTCGTTTGTTCTGTGAATTTCTGCAAAAGGTTGTCCCAATCCCCAGGGTCCCCTTTTGGTGGATATCTGCAGCAGCAGTTTATGAAAATAAACTTGGGAATCCTATCGTTGACCAGTGAACATGAACCAAATGGACAAGCAGGGATGTCTGCCATGGTTGAGGTGTTGGGTTTGACCCACATCCGCTAATGTTGAGAGTCCAAAGCGGGCCAGAGTTCTTGGACAAAGAGCTACTCCAAAAAGTCCGATGAATGTTTTGGGACTGCAAATCTCCCAAGCCACATGAACATGAACATGTGTTAATGGACGTGCTTCCCAACATAAACATATTTGTTGCCCAATTGGGATCCTTTCACAAAAACGTGTTGGAAAATAGTGCCAGCAACCCATGGCCAGCATCACCGCATGGCTCTCTGTCCAACCGAAACCAGGGCCCTGATTGATTGCAACAGATTCTCTGTTCCCTTGTTTTCACTTGCATCAGGCATCAGGAACATCTCAAGTTTGTTTGTAACAAAGGGCATCGCTACTAGGAGCGATCGGACGCTACTAGTTCTGTATCCATGCTATTTCTTTTGAACTACATCCATTTGCCACATCCTGTTACAGGTGGTGAGTGGCAGCCGTGAAAACCACCGGCTCACTCGCATTTGTCGATGGCAGGAAAAAATGTTTTCTTTGATGTATGACTGCAGCTGAGCAGTGATGGGAGGAAGGTGCACCAAGGAGTTGGTAGGCCGAATCCGTCTGGGATCTTTCTCGTTTCTCATCATTTCTAGAGGTATCCAGTGACCGTAAAGAGGACCTTCACTCTCCGCGACGGGAACCGACTTAGGAGGGGCGACACGGTGGTCCATCAGTCCGATTTGCTGCACGGCGTCCACGTGCGACACGGCGAGCCCCTCGGACCGGACCTGGGAACTGCGCGTCCGTTCGCGGACGAACGGTCGGTCAGTCGGCGCGGGTGACCGGGAGGGGGTTGGGTGGGGCATGGAAAAGAGGTGTGGTGGTTGTGCATGACATGGGATGACGGGTCTTGTGTAGGGCGGGGGGCAAGAAGCCTATGCTAAGAGGCAACAAATCATGTTTGCTTTCTTCCATAATATGGAATAAGTATGAAAAATAAGTTAAGTTAATTGTATACTTAGTATTGACCAGGTAGAGACTGGTGGGTATCAAATTTTGGAGGTTTGGATCCCAAATCATCACGTTATCACCGCAATGCAGCTCACTGCGAATCGCCTCAAAGAAAAGCCGTGCTTTTCTTTCTTTGTCCACACGAGAAAACCCATGAAAACCAGGGTTTTGCATCACCCCGGGATTTTCTGGATGCAACACCCTCACACTGGTCAGCCCGCGGCATCTGGGCGGAGGAGTCGGACGTGTCTCCTGGGACCGACCAGCGAGGCTAACAAGAAACAACATGCAAAAAAAAGTAACATAACATCACTGTGCTTCAAGAAACCATATGTAATTCGATTTAATAGAACAAATTCAACAGGGGTATTTGCAGCTTGGGAACGGGGCTCGTAACATTTTGCCCGTTTGTGTGTGTGTGTAACCCTTGGAATCATAGGGATCCTTTTGGATTTGTTCGGTTTGCTTTCTTTTTACCTTTACTACAGCAGGGGGCTCTCGGAGCCTGCATGAGACGAGAGCCAACGAAGACTCTCATGCAGTGCTTGTGTAAACGTACCTGCTTGGTGCACCTGGGCGCATTATAAGACGCAGCTGGTGGCCACCCTTCTTCTTCCTTTTGTAAAGTGCTAGTGAGCTCCGCAGACTTGCGCGCCACGACGTCATCTTGTCGGTTCGTCGCTCGTGCTTTTCTCTTTGGGCCCTACTTCCTCTTGAAGACCTCCAGGATCCGTGGTTCGTACATGTACCCTTAGGAATTGGAACCCTAGGCCGGCGTGTGGCACCGCTTCATCCTTTCCCCTTTCACACACCTTTTGTTTCCTCTTTTCTTTCATGTCCTCCTGTCTTCATGTCTGGTCATCTCATCCTTTTCTTCGTTTGCGCGCACATTGGTCCCGGCCTTAGTGTGTAATTACGTGCACTTCTACCTACATTTAAACACAGGTTTCAGGTCGCCCAGGTCTTTATAATGAGGTGGGCTTCATCGGGTGTCCTTGTGCACTTGGTTCCCCTTTCATTTCAACCACACGCACCTTTGTCCCGTCTCGTCCTCTTGTCATAATGTCTTCATTCTCTTGTCTCTTATGCGCGCACACGTGCACATTGGCCCTTACCTTAGTTTCTCGCCCTCCCTCGGGGAGGCGTGTGTGTGTAACCCTTGGAATCATAGGGATCCTTTTGGATTTGTTCGGTTTGCTTTCTTTTAACCTTTACTACAGCAGGGGGCTCTCGGAGCCTGCATGAGACGAGAGCCAACGAAGACTCTCATGCAGTGCTTGTGTAAACGTACCTGCTTGGTGCACCTGGGCGCATTATAAGACGCAGCTGCTGGCCACCCTTCTTCTTCCTTTTGTAAAGTGCTAGTGAGCTCCGCAGACTTGCACGCCACGACGTCATCTTGTCGGTTCGTCGCTCGTGCTTTTCTCTTTGGGCCCTACTTCCTCTTGAAGACCTCCAGGATCCGTGGTTCGTACATGTACCCTTAGGAATTGGAACCCTAGGCCGGCGTGTGGCACCGCTTTCAGTTCAGTACACCCTATCCTGAGTGTGTGTTCCCTCCAGATTAGACTCTGTACAGTTCTGCAGGTGCGTGTGACACTCTTATCCTCCCACACGCAATGAAGCTGTAACTTGGCCGGTTTCCTGTACCTGCATGTAGCGTCCCTGGATTACTTACCCATTCAGTTGGGGTCACAGCTGGGAGCTACGGTGACTGTTCTACTCTACTGGGTGATTCTTATGTCTCGCCCGATAAGTCTGTCGGTTCCCTTTCCGTTTCTACCCTAATGGAGCGATTCGTCAGTCTCGCTCCCTAGCTAAACAGGAGGTTTCTTTTCCATTCAGTCTACCCTAGCTACAAAGCAGGAGGCTTTATTTCACTCTTTTATGTACTTAGAGCGATTCACATTATGGAACCTACCTCCCTATGCAAGTGCTAATGAGCTTTTGTTAAGCAATACTGCTGTCGCGGACTTTTCACTCTTACGGTTCTGCAAGTCAAGCGCCAAGTATTCAGTAACTAACTCCTGGGAATGTCGTATCTGATTTAGCTCTTGGGAGCATGGATCGAAGTGTGTGCCGCAACAGGGGCCCACAGAGGTCTGTTGTGTGATCCCCGCAGTGGGCGCTGCATCACATGCCCTCCAGGTGCTTCTCCCAGGATGTTCGTGTTGGTCGATTTTAGATGATCTCTCGTTTCTGCTCAAGACTGTTGAAACTATGCTGCAGAGCATACTGGCTAACATTCCGAGAGTGTCACGACATGCGGCTAAGTATTCATTGTACAAATACGCGGCTACGTATTCACCTTGTTGTTGCTTTCTCTCATTCTTTTTCGATTTCTAGGTTTTCTTTAGTTGCTAGAGGTTTTTAGGTTCCAGGTTAGCCTTAAGTCAAGTGCTAAGTATGCACTCCTACGTTTCACACTGAGTAATTCATGCACGGTCTCCCTTTTTCTCCTCCTAGGGTTTTTTGCTTCTCTCCAGGTTTTCGTTCGTTGCTAGAGGCTTTTTAGGTGTCAGGTTAATGTTTAGTCAAGGGTGCGCCGATTTCGGCTTTCTGGACAGTGCCATTGGGCCCGTGCCTTTTACCCCCTTTCGTTTGCTTAGGTTTTCTCTCAGGCTTGTTAGGCTATGTTTAGGCTCGTTTAGTCGATGCACTCTTTTCCCCCCCAGTGACACAAGTGAGGAGTCAGGGAGCGCCGATTCGGCTAATTGTGTGTGTTCCCTCCTGTTCCAAAGGAGATTAAACTTTGTACAGTTCACCGAGGCGCTGGTCTTGGGCCATGTGGTTCCAGGATTCTTGGGATGCTCAGCGGAGATCGGACGGAGGAACATCTCCGTGGCTGACGATGAAGGGTATAGGGGGGGTGAAGAGGGTGGTCGCGTAGGTGAGAGAGAGAGAGAGAGTCTTGTAGTGATTGGTGCAGGCAATCTTTGTTTAGCTAGGCCCCTAGGCTAGGTGAAGAAGGAGTGCATTTACGGGTCACCACGGGTTGACTCCTTTGAAGTCTGCTGTTTGAGAGTATATTAACTGATCATGCTCCTGGACGGAATGGACATGGGTAAGAATTGAGCTGATGAGCCGCTCAAATCGCTCAACAAATTGTTACGGTATGTTACGGTAGAAGGCAGCCGATCTTTGCGATCGATCGGCGACTGACATCGCACGGCATTTGAGCCGTTGACGCTTTAGAAACCCATCTGGCTGTGGGTCAAAACCAGGGAAAGCCATGGTTGACCATCCAACGTGAACAGAATGGACTACGTGTTCCTTCGTCAACCTACCAGTGGGATATGGCCACTCTGGCTTTTGACTCACCGCCATCTCATAATTTCATGCATTCTCCTGGGATCTCGGGGATCTCTGGGGAATGATTCACTGCACGGGAACATGCCAGAAGGACATTCTCAGGACTTGCCAGAAGGCATATTTTTTTGCCGGCCCTCGTTTCAACCAACCAAACCACCTGGTGCTAAGGAAACCTTTCAATATCTTCAATCCTTACAAGTCAGTTTGACCTGATTTTACTGGAGTTAGCCATACAAAAAAACACTACTCAATGAGGTACAGGACCAGGTTTTACTGGGTCTTTGGACTTGTAGGGAATGGGTTTTTGCCTGCCTCCCACCTCTGCTCAGATTTTGACCGGGTACCCCCCCCGGGCGTTGGCTCCAGCCCCAACAACCTCAGGAACGTCGTGCTAGCAGAAACCATCGGGTCAAACCCGACTCCGTCCCGAACCCACCCGGAGTCTCGTCTGAGCCTTCCAGAAACATCCTGACCTCTCCGCAGCAGATGGAATTGCTTCGAACCGGACCTGTAGCAGAGCCAGAAATACCATCGAATAGGACTGGCTCAGAAGCCACCTGGAATGTGTTCGAAGCTGCCGTCGCTGAGCAGCTCAGGACTGTAGCAGTCGGGCTGAAAGCTGGTGGCAACAGGAAGCTGAGGCTCGAGACCCAGTGGCCCAGACCCTGCGAGCGATGCGCGCAGCGACGCAGCAGGAGAGTTACAGCTGGTGACTCGGCTGAAAGAGGTTTGAAACAGTTGGGATCTGTTGCGGTTCTCTCTTGGGAACAGACAGACACTGAATTAGGTGTCTGTGTTTTGTAAGTTATATTACACTGTGTCGTTATCATTACACATGTGTCTGTGTTGTGTTTTCCATATATATATATATATGTCGGTGCGGTCGCCCCACCAGGGGCATCGCAGCGGCGCCTTTCTACGCTCCAGCCTAAAGGTTCCGCTAGACATGGCGTCCGACCATGTGCTCATCACAATTCACACTCCTCAAAATCTATATATGATCCAAGTTTTCAATGGCCTTCATGGCCAAAGCGACGGGCTTCCTTCGAGCCTGGATACGTCACTCCGAACTTGGAAATTCCGGGGCTATACTGGACTGCCTTCAAATATGCACGGATGTCATCCATCTTCGAGGATTTGACTCCGCTGTTGGTGACCCATGTCAAGTAATCCCTCCTTTCTTTACACGAGTCAGCTTCTGTGACCATCATATCGTATGTCATGTCACGCTTGGCTACTTTTGGTAGCTCACAAATGGTGGAGCCCCACTGCTTCAGTGACTGAAGACCTTCAGGCAGGCGGATCTCTGTTCCAGCATGAGAAGAGTAGCCGACCTGACGTGGAAGCACCGGTGCTTGACTCATCTTCTTTGGGGTCGGAGTCACACTTTGAGTCAAAGCAATCACCTCAAACTGATCCAGCTCTTCCTTCGCAGACACCACAGAACTCGTCAATCTGCGTTTTGAGCTGTCATTCATCGATCCTTGCGCTGTGTCGGTCGAAGTGGAAGCGGATGCTTCGTGCAGCAGCTGCTCCAATTCACCGCTCTCGTTCAAGGCTCGAACTAGCTGCTTGAGCTCTTCTTTAGAGAAATTTTGGTACATGGCTGACACGTCACTTAGAGTTGAGGAGACAATCGGAGAGTCTGATCACACCGAGAAAACTGTGCCCTCTTCGCACTTGATTGCTCAGATTCAATTATATGCATTGAAACACATTTCGTTATCACATCGAGTAACGCAAAAGCACCTGCAAAAGAAAGTATCTATATATATATTGTGTTACGAAATGCTCACATTTCCACAATGCGTTTCCCCTCACATTCGTACCCCAGAATGTGCGCTGGGTGCTCACCAGCCCTCACCCAAAACCAGAGAAACAATCCAAGCGGCCTGGACATGTAGAGTAGGACGAAACGTGACTATCGACAAAACCAAACAAACAAAAAGGAAGTCCTGCATCACACAAAACAAATCTGGCAAACAGAAACTCAACCGGCGTCCAAATGCACTCAGTCTGCTATTCTCTAGAAAAACCCCATCCTACTGAATTAGGAACCCTTCTGTTTCGGCTTGCTTCTCCTTAGTGCTGCTTCTCGTGCTTCATGCAACGCCCGTCTTTCTACTCGTGCTTGACGTTGGTTCTTTTTTAGCTCCAGGATCATGGCTTCAGGATTCAACTGGTATTCCCCCACGGACAGTGCCGCCCGCAAGAGATCTGCCGGATCCTGCTGGTCCTTTGTTAGAGCGTCTGCGAGCATGAGTTGTGTTGGGCACCACCTAACCACGAGACCTGTTCGAGACATGCACTGTTTGAGTATTGCAAGGTCTATTGCTATCCTTTTATCTTCGCACTTACTAACTGATGACATGGATATCATATGGTCATATAAACTCTTGCAATCTGTGACACCCACGACAGGAACTAGGTCCAGCTCATCACGGCATTTCAAATTTGACACTCGTGGCTGTGTTTGCACTTGCTCTGTTGTCCGAAGATCAAATCTGCCATGCTTTGCTTCTGCTATGAGCAAGCTCATCCACTCAGCCGTAGCACTAGCTGTCGTGAAAGCCTGTGCCTCCCCTGCTAGTGTCGAGGCCACCACTCTCGGCAATTTGTATGACCGCCAAGCAAACGGAGACCAGCTTGCTGCCTCATTCTGTACTAGTCTTTTGCTCACAAAAGCTGCAATGAACCCTGCCTGTGTCTTGTGTTGCTTTGCATTACCAAAACCTGCATCTGAATGAAAACAGATAGCCAAATCTTCCCATGGAATGCTCTTCACTGTAACATCAGTGTGACTAAACTGTTTAGCCCGATGCACCAGTTGGTTTGCAAACAACAAATCCCGAACTCTAGGTTGAGGAAAGCTCTGTTGTGAAAAGGAGGTCTGAACGCACAGATCTGGTCTTGACTGCGAACTAAGCCAATTGCATGCTCCGTTGATTGCCCTCAAGGCTGAGATCTCCCGGTCAGTTGCCAGAGACTCTTTGTCCTTCAACCGTTCTTTAGAGAGAGAAATGGCCCGAAGATGTTCTGCATATTCTTTTTGATGGTACGTGATCTCAAAACTTCGCATGTCTTGGCTATATTGCACCCCACAAAATTCACCATTGCCAATCCTCCATTTTCTGTACGGGAAATGAGTCTTCAACGCTTGAATTGCTGAATCGTAGGTTGCCCCGTGTCCCCCCGTGATGGTGTCGTCTACATGGGCTCCCATCACACCACACATGGCTCCCTGACTCAACGGATCTGGAAGGTAGTATAAACAGTTGTCAAACTGAGAACGAACCCAACCAATTTTTTTTTGCAGTCTCGTCGAACTTAAACCACCAGTTGAAAGGGGCATCGTTGGACCCGTAGACGTTGCCTGTGACCTCGATCACATCATCCGGACTGAGTCCTGGGATCCCTCCTGGAGGTTGATGCGCATACAAAGGACTAAATTTGGGGTTCAAAGGCCCTGCTTCCAGAAAAGCCCCCTTGATGTCCCCTAGCTGCATCGTCCATTGCTTGCTGACTAGAATTTGTAAAATCAATGATCTTGACAAAGGGTGAAGTGTGGGACTGTGGCAAGCCCCTGACTGGATCTTCTCCTGGAAGTCAGGATCCAAGTGCCCTTGTAGGCACCAGCGACTCTTGACTCGCTCCCCATCCTCATCCTTCTTGTTGATCACAACAAAACGACTGCCAATGAACCGATGTCCAAAACGCTCTTTGATCTCTTTGGCTTTCTGTCCAGTCCACACACGAACAGCTTGTTTCCCTGACAATGTCTCCCATTCTGTAATCTTGGATCCATCAACCTTCTCTTGGATGTCGGATGGGTTGCCAGTGGACGGAATCTCTTTTGCTGCTCGCTTCTGCAAGAATCCTGCTATCAATGCTTCGACATGACTCTGGCCACTTCGCACTGGAACCTCCTCTCCTGGAGAAACAAATGAACACAACAATGCCTCGTCCTCATATCGTTCAGTTCGACTGCGAGTGCGCGGTCCGTCATCAATGTCGGCACTGGCCTCTCTCTTGCTACTAGTGCCTCTGGGACTGAAGCTCTCGGTCTCTGGTGTCTCTAGCAACGAAGGAATAACCTCTTGCAGCAACTCTGACAGATCTTCCTGTTGCATCTCCATTGGACGAAAGAGATATTCCGGGGGTGACTTGACTGTGTGTCGAACCCGTCTGATGGGACCATAATCCTCTGTACGACCTAACGGTGTCCAGGAAGACGTTCCCCCCAATCGAGAATACGGCCCATGTTCTGGTGTTGTCTCATCTGCATTGTAGTCTTCCTTTTGAGTCTTGGTCTCATTCACTCCACGCGGATCGTGCCGCGGAATGCCAGCCTTCTGCCCGGTCAGAAATTTCTGGAGATGGCGGAAGTGTGGTATTGACCAAATCAACAAACTGTCCTTTTGGAAATTGTCCCTTTTCTAACAAGTTCTTGATTCCCAGCAATTCGTTGTCATCAAAATCTGCAACTGTTTTCTCTTCTGAGGTTGCATGCCGTAGATGTTCTGGCGAACAGCGAAACAAACTTCGTCTGTGCGCAACAATATAGTTCACCCCCCAACTTACCCAAAATCATGCCAGCCCCATGCCAACGACCTCCCCTTAGCAACTGCCCGTCTGACCACTTTTGTGATCTCCAGTAGTAAACCCAGTCACCTGAGCAGAAGTCCTGGCGGAGTCTTGGGCGAGCTCGGATGGCCGCCTTCAAGGCCTTGTGGTCTTGGCATTCCAGCACCGCTTGTCGCGCCGCTTGCCGCACGAGATGTGCCCGATCGAACGGCGAGTCGCTCTCGGTGGCGTCAACTGCGGGTAAGTGTGGATCATCTTGCAACAAATCTTGAGGGATGCGGGGATTGCGTCCAAAAACAATCTGAAAAGGGCTTGCTCCTGCTTCTGTAATCAGGGTGTTTTTGGCTATTTGGGTCTGAAGAACGTTGTCAACAAACTCTTCGGCATTCTTGGGTGGATGCTCTTCACATACCCGAGAAAATATCTTTTCGAACCAACCTCCATGTCTCTCGACTTTCCCCAGCTGCCAATGTGAGTCTGCAGCTGTGTATAGGAGATCTATACCAAGTCCCTCACAGTATTCTCCCAAAGCGTCACTCAGGTTTGGTCTGCTTGGGTCCAATTCCAAAACCTTTGGGGGCCCGGCCCATGCAATCCAGGAGTCCCGCAGAACACCCTTCAACAACTCAGCGTTTTCTTTCTGGAAAATGGGTGCCATTATGTGCAATGACGATGCATAGTCAACAATGCTGATGCACGGAACTCTCTGATTGGGTTTCCAGCCGGGGAGGTACTTGACGTCCATCCCAACTCGCGCGTTAAACTCCATGATTCTACTAGTCTTAGCAGGTAGGGATGCATGCGGAAGCTTATGGTTACTACACACGGTACATGTGAAGTTCTTTGCTACCTCCAGAGCTTCTTTAGAAGCCTTACTATGCTGCAAGATGCGCACCAAATCCCTGTTGTGCGGATGGCCGAGGTTAACATGCAATTTCCTAACAGCTCGCAACACACTGGGAGTACCTTGGGTGTGATCAGCATGTATGACCTCCGCGTCTTCTTGCTCTGGTCCGGCCCTGTCTCCTTCGATCTCACCAATGAGACACTCTGCACCTTCGCACTCAGCCAAGTCGATAAAGTCGACCACACTCACATGTTGTTGTGCTTGGCAGGCTTTTAACATGGCTTTAACGAAAGATGGGGTGTACTCTGCTGCAAAGTCGCTCACGTTTTGTCCTGAGTTCAGTTTTCCTTCAACCAAACGATGTTTCTCACACCCCTGACACTGATGGAAATGAGTGGACTCCTTGATGGATGAAAGGATCCCCGTGGCTTTTCTGATGGGGATACCCGTGTCAGGACACTTCAACCCGTAGGCGCACATGTCAACTCTGCGGACTCCATACTTCCTACGAAGAGTGATCATGTCCCCATCGTCCCACACTTCGGAACCCCACGGATGCTCAAAGATAAAATCACCACCTCGACTTATCTGCTTGCGAATCTGTTGGAGAGCAAAGCGAACCTGATCTCTAGATGCTCGAATTAGCAAGGCTGTCTCGAAAGGAGACCGCTTGGTCCTATTCAGATGCTCCCACCCGCCTCGATGCGTGCATGGTGGACACGCCACCAAAAGTCGAGGGCGGACGCGATCGAGTTCCGCATCCACTTGCGACTTCACATTTGATTTGGAAAGGTCCCACCCCTGCTTAATATCATATGCTATCCCTTTTCCCCCCTGCCGAACAGCCTCAGTGGAAAAACGAGGAGGAGAAAATAACTCAGCAACCATGATACCAGCATCTTCGGTCTGGGAAACACGTTTCATCTGAGCAAGCAAACATCTACACTCTTTCTTTTTCAGTGTGATTTTTGTCTTCTGTTTTTGACTTGAGCCCTGCGCCTTCTGTTCAACCTTCTGCTGGTCGTCCTTTGTGGAACGAGCTATGTCTCTGTCGTGTTGATTACCGCGAGGCTTCGGGGTAGCTGTTTCTCTCGCTGGATATGCTAGGACATCCACCAGCAGCTGACCAGCCTCATTGGTCTTGAGATCGGTCGTGCAGCCGAGAAGCTCCATCTGTCCTTGAGCGAAATCCAGTTTCACAGCCATCTTTTCCAACGTTGGTCGTCCAAGCAAAAGAGGAGCTGAGCCCGCAATAATGGCTGCGTCAATCAAGCCAAACTTGTTTGCGATCCCGACAGGTAAGCGGCATGCACGTTTTGCCACTTCCGTTGCTCCATTTCCGAACCTGAACACATTCTCAGACTCATAGTACTGCACAGAACCAAACCCTCGAGCCTTGATCATGGGTTCAAGCTGTTTGAGAGTTTCTTCTCCGATCAGGGTGCGTCCGCACCCACTGTCCAGTACTCCAAAGCCCGGTGAGGAAATCAGGCCAGCGCTAAACACCGTGGTCATCACGTGTCCCACAAAGGTCGGCTCCACTCCATATCCAGCCTCAGCGGTTGGCTCTGAGCTTTCAACATAGTTGGCTGCCATGGGAGGAGTGCTCGAAGAAGAAGCTTCTTTCGCACTTGGTGGCTGCCTGCACTCTCTGGCCCAGTGGCCTACTTTGCCACAGCGATTGCATTTGGTTCGCCTTTTCAGCTCTTCTACTTCCACTTTGAACTGCCTTTTGGAAGTGCCATGAGAACCGAATTGTCGACTCTTCTGCACCTTTGCTATCTCCTTGCGACGCTCTTTCCAAGTCACAGCGAGGGCTTCGGCTGCCTCTTGTTCAGTGAACACAGCCTCTTCTGTAGTGGTCTCGTGCTCATGTTCGGCGATGAAGGCCTCAACTTCTTGCAAGTAAGCATCGTCCGTGTAGGACATCTCTGGTGCAGCTTCGAACTCGTCAGTCATGACGTCGACTTGCAGAGCTCCAACTGGCTTTCTGCGACTGGCTGTTGCTTTGTACAAAGGAAAACATGACCTCATGGCAGCGGCCACGGCTTCGTAGTCTAAGCTGCCTTGTGTCTTGGCCTTCACTATGGCCTTCTGTTCCTCAGTCAAGCCTGCACAGTTCAACGTAATCCAGCCCTGAGCGGCAGCTGGAAAAGCCACTCCCGCTCGTCTCTCGCATCTGTCAAACACTTCTCGAGCTCGAGCCGTCCACTGCTTGATGGACTCGGCTTCGTTGGCTGACAGTGCAAACACTTCGCCCAGCGATTCTCCTAGCAAGTCATGAGCCTCTTTTTCTGGAAATCGTTTCTGCAACACTTCCCAGATCTTTTTGTCACCACCTGACACTGCAAGGTCGTCTAAGGTCAGGTGCTCACAAGCATCCCAGGCACGACCATCTAGAAGCGTCAGGATCCATGGCCCCCTTTGTTCAGGTTTGATGTCTTTCAACGTAACCAGTTTGGCCTGGGCCCATGTCTTCCACTTTTTCAACGCCTTACCCGGGTCATCGCCCTCACCGTCAAAGCGGCGATGACCCTTGTCTTCACTCATGGCAGCAGGTGCACTACCTAGTGACACTCACTGCGAGCCCCTGGTGGGGCTCCGCTACCAATGTCGGTGCGGTCGCCCCACCAGGGGCATCGCAGCGGCGCCTTTCTACGCTCCAGCCTAAAGGTTCCGCTAGACATGGCGTCCGACCATGTGCTCATCACAATTCACATATATATATACCGTAGTCGTTGGCCGCGCCCCTGAATCCTGTGTCCGGGTGTTGTCCTTCACTTGTCCTCCTGCCCTCTGGACAGCGCTCACCTGTGTCCACTGAACCGCCTTGGTCCGAGTATATGTTCGGGTGACTATGAATGCAACATCATGCAACAGTGGTGCGGCGTTTCAATTTTCACATTTGATATCATCCTCGGATTGTCTACAGATTCCATATCATCAATCCCATCGTTTTTTTGGGGAATCAGGAACGATTGTTTTCAAACAATGCCATTCCCACACTTGGTATGTTTTATCGTCGTTGTTTAACATGTTGTTGCTTGTTAATTGAGGTAGAAGAGGTTGCCCCTAAATTGACCTGGATTTGGGGGCTGAAGGCTGGTTCGGACATGATGAGCCGCGCGCGCGTGGGCGCGGCGTGATCGCGTGATCGCGTGCTGTGAGGCTTCAAGAAGCGGCACAAGCGGGCTTCCCCAGGGCGCAGCTCTACTTCGGGAAGGCCCTAGAGGACCGCAACTGCGAGGCTTTGTGACAGTGCAATCCAGCATGTTTTGTTGGTGGTTTCTTCTGCTGTTCCACGCAACTTATGAAGAGGGTACCCTGTTGTACCCGGCTCTCCCAAAAAATCAAACAAAAAATCCATGTATTATATCATGTATATAATATAGATCCCTTGTTTTCCTCTTTCTTCTTACTTCCTTCATTTTTGCGAAGAGTCTGCCTCATGCTGCCACTGAGTCTGTACAACACCGTTACAACACCAACATTTTTGTGGTTTGGAACGCCTCGGGTGAAACCGAAACCAACACCGATCGTTTTGTTCCATCGGCACCAGGATGGCTTGGCTCACCATGCCCCAGATCCACCGGCTGCCGCTGCCTGGTTCGAGCGAAGCCGCCTGGGCGGCGAGATCGACGCCTGCGCCTCGGCCGAGATCGTCGTCGAAGCGGGACTAGAAGGTCTGGACCGGGATCAGCAGGTCTTCACCCCCCCCAAGGTCATGGGTGAGTGTGTGTCCCATGACCTTCTTTACATCCTATAAGAATCAACAACAGATTATCACGTGTTGGTTTGCCGAATTTGGAGAAAGGCCTGCAACCTATAACCATCATCCACTGTTACAGCGAATGGGATACACCCCCAAAATATGGTCTTTTCCCAACAAAACAGAGGTCGAGAGAAAAGCGGTTCTGTCGGGGCCGCCATTCACATAACTATGACTGTTCTGGGGAGTGTAGAGCTACCAAGACCTACCTGTTTGGGGTGTCTATTCATTTCCCCATAAAGAGGGTTAAGGGCTAAGGGGTATCTATTATATAACCACCCCTTGAGCTTCCTGGTAGTTGACGGATGAGTGCATGATCCTCCCTAGCAGGAGTACGTTGCATGGTTCAGTTTACTTTTGATGGGGGGCTCTCCTTCTTCAGTCCCAAAACCATCCCTGGCCTGATCGGC